TGGGGTGCTTTCGTCCGTGTAGTAGTTCACGCTGACGCCCTTCGGCGAACGTAGTGGCGAAAGCTTCTTTTTGCCTGCTGCAGATTTACGTTTTGTATTTCCAGACCGTCATATTTACGATTTTTCTTCCCTCGCTCAATTTTCTCTCCTTGTTCTAAGTCCATCACAAAATATTACTTGGCACAGATGTTATTGCATGTTCCCTTCTTATTGCCACCCAGCTCCGAAATCAAACTTCAGTCGATTGGGTAACGACGCGTTTTACTAACTGGGATTGTCGTTAAACTTTTATTGCCTCTTTATTCCGACTATTTTGGAACGGTCTCCGAACTAATTGCTATGCACTCATGTTCATCATGCTAAAAAGATCAACATTATAGTGCATCGCAGCCATTGGATAGATTTGTGTCAAAATTCACACAAACGCATTTAGAATCATTGTTCTCTTACACAGTTTTCATTCTCATTAGCGGAGAGAGTAGGCTGGTTTACCTGACTTTCCAGCTTCATACAAAGTCTGAGCCGGATGGCTTGCGCTGCACCACCCACAGCTCCAACCACACACCCCATATCCAGTGTAAACCCGAAGGAATAAGACCGGGAGGCATGTGGATGGGAACCACGTTTCATCAACGGAGCCGGCCCACACTCCTTCACAGGCAAACACAAGCACGCTGTATTTGGGGAATCAACCGCACACAAGGCGGTGGCTGGACCGTAGTCCGCTCCATACTGAGTGCATGGAACCACTCTTCGAGCCTAACACGGCCACAAGAACCGTGCACCCCGTCCCCTCCAGCAACGACCAACTGTCTCCTGGAGCCAGTATGGACGAGGTAGTGGGTAATAGACAGGTAGGCACCTTGTCAACATGCACATCAAGCGCAGCCACACCGGGGATATCAAACAACAGCCAATCACTTGAGAGAGAGAGAAAGAAAAAGAGAAAAACTGGATTAATGCATAAGGAAACGGTGACATAAACCTTAATTAAATAGCATACGTAATAAGTTGTTTACAAACACATCCCAGCTAAGTGCACGAAGTCAGGAAGTATAGTTCACGGTATGCCACGAACACAAAAATCTTATGGAAATCGAATACAACTGGCTAAAGCGATATGTGCAAGTTAATGGAATAGAGTACATGGAGATATTTATATAAGAAAGAAAAGCATTAAGGTAAAAACTGTAAACCCACCACCTGAAATAAAGAGACTTAGCATGCAAGCACGCGGTTAGTAAATCGAAATCAGCGTGCCTACAAACGCTGCGCCGGCTCGTCGTAATTCTCTGCAGGACCCATCGTCGCTTCTGTAGTGGCCCCAAAGGACCTAGCTCATGGCCCACTAGACATTTATATGAGAAAGAAAGGCATTAGGAGAGAACCGAAAACCCACCACCTGAAATAAAGAGACTTAGCATGCAAGCATGCGGTTAGTAAATCGAATTCAGCGTGCCTACAAACGCTGCGCCGGTGCTGCCTACGTTCACTGCGGGCCCTGTTCTCTAAAACGCGATATTGATCAATACTGGCGGTCCGTTGGGATTTTTGTAGCTGTTTCGACTGGACGTGGCAACATACGTGTCCACCATTGCATTATGTATTCTCTCGCGGATACGTTTCTAGTCCCTGCGAGTAGTTGCTGCTTCGCAAGAGCAGAACATTTTTACTGTTAGAAAACATGAAGCCATAGCGCCTGTGAACATGACGGCATGGGAGATGAGAAGGAATCGACACGGTTTCACACAATATGAACGCATTTTTCCCACATATGTTTTGTTGCAGGGGTGTAGCATAGCAGCTGCATATGGTGCATGCAGTGAAAGTTAGTGGCGAACATGTTTTTCCGATTTATCGCCTAGGGTCCACTTGGCAAGCACATGTTCGTTGCATTGCGATGGAATTTTCCGTCGTAATACGTGATATGACGCGCAGCAGGTGAATCCTGAGTCTGTCCCTTAAGAGATGCATACCAAAACAGTGGTCACCAGTGTCTGAGAAGAAAGATTGGAATTGAGTTATTGTACTCCAACCGCGGAAGACGTGTGGTTGGGCGTCTGGCTTGCAATCCCTACACTCCCCCGAATGTGTCTATCGCTCCCGAGGTATGCAGGCTTACATACAATCACAGTTGCGTGTAAGCGATTTTCCCTTGAGGAAACCATATGGGTAGTGTTCTACGAACGCTGGCATGTGATAGCCTGTTTTGAATTTTCTCCTTTTACCTCGCTGCTCTTGGTATTCCTGTAAATGCTGTTATGAGAACAGGTTTTGCAATTATTTCATTTCCCAGCAAAGAACCCGCTCAGATAGTTTTATCCGATAATTTATCTACAAATGATGTATTATACCAGATTGTTTGTAGATAGCTAGGTGTCAGCAGTACGCCAGTATCGGTGCTTCGCTGCCGCGCAACCACCAATCACGCGTAAGCTACGGATACTTCGAGGTCGCCCGGCCCTCTACGCGGGCACGAACCCTCGCCCTCGAATTGCCATGAAACATGGTATTTTGACGTACTGTATCAACGGCTTTTAGGTCATCCTTTGGAATATTTACTGTATACCTTAATCATACCGCTATGTTCATAGTCAGAGAAACACGGGTATTTTGTAGACAGTGGGACTATACCGCATTTTGCTGAATCAGCGATTGCTTGGGGTGCAAAAATGGGTCTGAGTGCAGTTTTGTTCATACGCTAACCACCTTACACCATGCTACCAAGAATGTATTACGGGACTGAAGCATTGAGGCGAAAACGTCTTGTTGGTTGACAGTGCCTGTAGTTAGACGTCATTGTTGAACATAGTAGACCCGTAATATTATTCGGCTTTTGCGATTGTTTTTCACCTCTGCCACATTCGCGCGCAGTGCTTTCTGCACCTGGAGGGTGTCTTATCGCTGGCCTTGCCGTATAAAGCCATTCAGGATGGGTGGGACTGAATGTGAAGACATCACCCTTGGCTGACATTTTGTGTAGTGTTGCATGGAAAATAGAAGTTCTGTCGGATAATGACGAATGCACATGCAACTGAGTCACATGGCCTGATTAAACTTCGCCCTCTGTTCCATTGAATTCGAATTTGATCCGGAAAGGCACATTGATGCAAATTGTTTAGGAGTGCGGGTTGCTAAACAGTAAGCCGTATTTATATGGCTGGCGGATGGAACATGCCGAACCAAAGGATTAGACTGACTTTTACCAGCATCTCGTCGCAGTAAGCAGCAGTCGCACTTGGTGGGGTTGAGTCCAAACTCAGTGGGTAATGCGGTATTGTGTGAAATCATTCATTACACATCCGTTTATTCTCGCCAATTACGGCACAACATTCAAAATGAAGGCGCACCTACTTTCTTCATAGCCTCCTATTGCGGCCACACCCACCTACTATGCATTGCATATTACCGAGTGACCGGGCCCCCTCAGTCGATGTACCACTGACTTCACAACTAGGTCCGTAGCTACTTATGTCCGAATGGCGTGCGCAGAGGCGAATGAGTTATATCTGAGCGAATGCAGTGCTGCCTTAGCTACTGCGAATTCACTGATGTTCGCTACCTCGCCGCTCAGAACAATCAAGATAGTTTTCCGTTACTTGAAAAACGGCATCTAACATGATGTAGCGGCATTCTGATGTCCACTTTTGTCAACTTCTAGCGTCAAAGATACTAGCTGATACAAGTTTATCAACTTTGTCTATTAGGCAGTACAGGTTGATATATGGTCGCACACAAGCCGACCATCCGTCAATCCTCCCTTATCCATCGCGTTTTGTGCTAGACTTTGTCGTTCTAGAACTAACCAGCCGATTTGCAATATGATGGCGTTCTTGTTGGCTCTTTATTAAACCGCTCTTTTGTTGCTGTTTCGTAACCGATGTCTTTCGGTACTTCGTTGAGAACGTGTGTGATAGCCGCATATTTATCTGCCCAGGACATATAAAGCATTCTATTGACTTGATTTGAGTATGAAAACTGTGTTCCTGTCGTCCTAAAAAGTTGGCACCTTGCGTAATGCGAATGAATGCTGATTATGGTGTCATGCTCTGTTCTGTTAACCTTGTTCCCACGGTGGTAGTTACTAAGTATAATTTCAGTCTTGACCAGTATTCTATGAAATATGCATATCGGTACTCGGATTTCGAGACGTTTATGGTTCCGATGACAACTTCTGCAATCTCATTCTGGCAACTACTGTGTAATCACTGAGATGGAAGTCTCTAGCGCATCTATTGGGGTTTTTTTTGCTAACGCTGTTGGGTTTGCTATGCTTGCTAGAAGAGTAGTCTGCTTTTTTAAGGAGCAATGGTGCAGTATCTATTGTGGGAGAAAATTGACCATCTCCGTCTACATCACACTTGTTAGCTGTGATTTACCACACGTCGGTACTTGACACACGAACAGTCTGCCAAATCTCTTCAACGTGCTACGGTGTATGGAAGACCTTATTTGTTTTGAAACTAAATGTGCCTCTTGGGATCTGACTCGCGACCAATGCTCCTGTGGGTTCGAGCCTCGCGGTATCCCAACAAGCGTACAGTCGCACGCGATTGCATGGTAACCAGGTATCAGTACGGAATATTGATGTTCCGCTGATATCTATCTTACTGCACAACCCAACGGTAAATTCGTCACACCGACGGTCCCCTCTGAATGTAGGGGTTTGTTTAGTTAATTATGTAAATGTGCGTTAAATCGAGTTTTCTACTTTTAACGCATACCACCTGCAGAACTTCATTGATTCAAATGGTACCATTTGTCTTATAGTCGCATCTCTAGTCGCTCCAACAAAGTGCTCACTAAATGAATGGTTTCAACAAAGAAAACTCAATTGTACCTAGTGTTTATTTGAAACTATCATGGTAACAATCGAGTCAACCACTACATACTACACAAGTGTCCTTGTTACATACCGTTTGTGAACTACAAAGTTCTGGCTTTTTTGCATCTTTTGCCTCCCGCTTTGCACGACGTGCTTTTTTCATTTTCCTCTCTAGGTACCTGGAAAGAACATAGGAATGCAGTGGCGTAAACGCGAATGGCCCGACGGACATTTCAGTGACCTGTCTCTGGAAATGAGCGCATTCGACGGAGGCACCAGACTAGTGCTTAATCAAACAGGTGTCCCGGCGTATGACGTGGAAAATACGACGAATGGTTGGCGGTCGAATTTTTTCGCCACGGTGAAGCAAACCTTCGGTTACGGCGGACGAATGTTTTAAACTTCGCATAGCATTTTTGCCCCCTCCCGCTGAATCACGCCTATATTTCTGTGCCCTTGACGCGATCCCGCTGCACATAACATTCTTTGTGGGTTTTTGCGCCTTGGACATGATACTTATAACTTAACATAAACCGAGTGAATGAATATTTCCCGTGGGCTCGGCTGTTTTCTCCCAACATGAATTCGGGTTGCTCTTATAGTGGGATTTATTATTCTTAACGACCGTAATCCCCACTCACCTCTGAGAGCAAGGTAACCGCAGGGGTCATTACGTAGGGGTGAAATGTCGAAAAATTCCAATAAACCATCGGGGAGAAGCGAGAGCCGAATCGAGATGGAGCATATTACGAGGGAATTTCAAGAATTTTGTTTGGTATGAGGGACGGTTAAAATTGACTTCTAAACGAACACACAGCAAAGATCCATTTGATTCGTCTCGAAAAGCTATACCGAACAAGTCGACATGAAAAACAATTCAAAGCAGAGAAAGAAATCGATAAAAACTCATGTGCATAATGGAGTGGCAAAATAAGTACAAGCGACAAATTCGCTTTTGAGCTCTGGTAACGCGCATAAATCTTGACTAAATGCAAAACATCCAAAAGTAAATTACGGTACCGTACAGAGGAATGTCAGAAAACAGATCTTGCAAACCGCAACGATGTCGGCCTGTGCAAAAGCGAACGTATCCTGACAAAATGCGCAAAAAAAGTGCAAGTAACCATGATCGTGACCTTGCACAGAGCACAAGGGTCCGAATTGGCGCGCGGTCATATTATATATATATATATATATATATATATATATATATATATATATATATATATATGTGCCATCGGTACCATGGCGGAACAGGAAAACAAGGTTAGTGTAGAAGAAGAAAACAAACAATTTTTCCACTCAGTTTTTGCTTTTTTTGATGTTTTTTATTGGGAGAGGGAAGGGGAATCACCGCAACAAGCAGAGATACACACCCGGCACTGAGTTCGGTTTCGAGCCATCCTCAACATTCTTGGGACCCCATACAGGGATTGGGGAGGAACCAACCGTGGCCAGCTGTTTCGTCAGCTTTTTCATCCTGCTTCTCCAAGTTGTAGGCTGTCCGCCACACCGCCTCCTCCAGCCCCCAGCGACTGCGAACAAGGCACAACGCAGAAGACGCTAAACGCGCATATGCAGTATGTGTCCGAGCCATCGCACTTGGCGCATCGAGACAAGCGCCTCGAGGGAATGGTTGTCTCCACCCAGGACACGCTGTCTGACTTTAGCGTTCGTTACGTGGTTCAGCCACCACACACGGGCGATGAACCGCAAGCAACGGTTCTCGAAGCCAAACAGTCGACGTAGGTCGTCGGTACGAGCAGGCCAAGTCTCACAACCGTAAAACAGTACAGCGCGGACAGTAGCACTATGAACCTGTCCTTTGATGGAGAAGCAGATGTCATGGCGGCGCCATAAATGCTTCAGCCTGGAGAAGGCGAGGCGAGCTCTTGAGATATGCATTGAAATCTCGTTTCCAACAACCCCACCAGCAGTTATGCAACTCCCCAGGTAGACAAAACTCTGTACTACTTTAACGTTTCCCCATCGATGGTGAGTGTAGGTAGGGGGCGTATACCAGTCTTGAAAAAGCGCTTTGCACTTGGATGGTGAAAAGTGCATGCTATACTTCGACGCTTCAATCGCCAGGTGGTTAAGTGTAAGTTGGACGGCCTGCGGACCGTCATCAGCGTAATTCAAATCAACCACCCGACTACCTGGGAGGAGCTCAACGCCAGCATTCAACAAGTCTTCTAGAGCATTTTTGAGGACATCCTCAACGGCAAAGTTAAAGAGGAATAAAGAGATAGGGCATCCTTGTCAAACCCTACTGGTGACAACAAAGGAAGGCGGAAGTTTGCCATAAGCCCTACTATGCAGAGCACGCAGAATGGAAACGAACTTCCCGGGAACCATTCCTCAACAGACAGTGCCACAATGCAGCCCTGTCAACAGAATCGAAGGCAGCACGGATATCCAGGAACACAACAATCATTAACTTTTGATACATATGGCAGAGATTGAGAATCTGGCGGAGTGTGAAAATCTTATCAGTGCAGCCGCGGCCAGGGCGGAGCACTGCATGTTCTTCTCGCTGTAATGATTCACGCGTTGGGGATATCCTGCGAAGAACGATGGACAACAGGATCTTGCAAACGATGGGAACCAAACTTATGCCCCTGTAATTGGAGCCATTTGTGCGCAGGCCCTTTTTGAAGATGGAGACGACTACCGATTCACTCTAGGATGATGGAACCTCCTCTTTCGCCCAGACTTCTGAGAACAAAGCGGTGAATTCTCGATTCAGCGAAGAGCTCCCATCTTTAAATAGAACAGGAGGTAGACCATCAGGGCCGGGTGTCTTATAACGCTTTAGGCAGCTGAGTTCCGCCAGATTTCCTGGTGAGAAGAAGGATCAGTTGGGATAGTCCACTCATCACCAGTGCGTGCCCCAGGGGAGACAGATAGAGCTGGTGGCCAGGAAAACTGCGAGCGAAAATGTTCGGTCCATCGAGTAGTGATTCTTGATCGGAAGCCTTCGGTGACTCGGATGAGGTGGAACAGTTTTCTGATATTGCCAGAGAGATCAGCAAGCTCAAGCTCTCTAGCATGTTCACACCACTAGGTCTCACGATCCTTATGTAAGCTCCTGCGCAACGCTCGATCCAGGGATCGGCGTTCCTCACACAGCTGGTGTCGGCTGGGATCAAGCGGTGTCTGTCCATCAGCGACAAGAAGGCAGTGTGGTAATCCAGCTTTCCGGCAGGTGACAAGCGAATCTACAATTGACAGCACTGGCAGAAATTAAAGCGTCTTCGACGCGCATCCATTGCGAGTTGAGACCGTCAGAGGATGAAGCAAGTAGTGTTGACAGAGAAGCGTGGTACTTGGCTAACGTCGCAGGATTTTGCAGATTTTCGACATTCGGTCGGTAGTGCGTACATCTGGATGATCCTCCGAAACGCATGCATATTTTGGCGCGAATCATTGCGTGATCAGAGTCCAGACAAGTTGATCAGTACGATCGGCAGTCTGTTACGCTTCCACACCATCTGTAGCCTATTGCTATGTAGTCAAGCTGAGACCATTCTTGTGTTTGAGAAGGCGGACGCCAGGTAGCAGTCTGTCTTTTCGAATGAGGAAAACTTGCACTCGAAAGAAACAAGCGACGATCAGAAGAGTCAGTAGCCTGTCCCCATTGTCTGATCGGCTGCTACCGAGGCCAACTACCTCCAAGATGGTCTTCACTTGGTGGCAGGCCGCCCACTCGTGCGTTAAAATCTCCGGCAAGAATGACAGTGTCAGACTTCTTAGCAGAACGCAGAAGCTCATGTAGCTGTTGATAAAAGTAATCCTTGACTGCCTCCGGGCTGCAGTCTGTAGGTGCGTAGGCGGAGATGAGGAACAAGGCACGCGTAACATCTCGAAGCTTATTTAATTTACATGAACCTCGTAGTCTGACTGCACACAGCCGACTGTTGACTGGGATCCAGTCAAGCAAAGCAACCTCAGCCCTGTCACTCAGTGCAACCCCGACACCAGCTTGGCCAGAGGTGGCGGCCTCTGGGTTTCCGGAAAGGCGCAAGTGGTATTTGACGTCAGGGTTTGCTGGAGATGACGGTACTGGCGTCTTGCAACCTGGTTTCGGAAAGGCAACAGATGTCCACCGAGAGCCTCAAGCGTGCGGGCCAGACATGGTTGTCGTCCGATCTGCATCAAAGTGCGCACATTGAACGCTGCAAGGCCGAATGGAGAACCAGGACGAAGGAAAGCTTGGGCTTCGGTTGAGTGTGCAGATGTTGTGACCACCGGGCAACGAACACCAAACGTTTGGTTCAGAACTCTGTCAGATGCGGCCAGTGAGCTGTTATTGATGGTGACCGGGGAAGACACAGAGGTAGTTGAAGAATGGGACGTGGGACGATCTGTGAGCGGATGTTGGGCAGCGGAGACAGTAAAGCTAGTAGGGATAGCAAGAGGGAAAGCAGTAGTGTAATCCATCCATAGTTCGTCAGTTGTCTAGGCCGAAGTAGAAGGTTGTCTTAGGGGGCCCCTCCCCGAGCCTTTGATCCAGGATCTAACCTACAAGGCAGCAGGGCGAGATGAGGGTATCGCAACTCGTTGGAAGCCGGTGACCAAACAAGTGGTTCATACGCCTTTAGGACCGCATAACACTATACAATGACAGGAAGTGCCGTGTGGTCTGAATAGGGAGTAGGGGGTTTAGCACTGGCCAGAAAGTGCATTCAAAAGGATGGATAACGAAAATGTGGGCCGAGTTGGACATGCGTTTGTGGATTTCAATCGTTTGATGAGCGACATTATTATTATATTATTGTATGTCAGCTGTGCACCGTAACGGCGCTTCGTTGCCGCGCCACCCTACACTGCATCCATCAATCTTGTGCAAGAGGGGATAAAATTACTCGCTTGAATCTATCCAGCGATGTAATGAAATTCGTCCTTGACCGATCAACGCCGAATCCACAAGCGCCAGACAGAGTCTCTCCAGCACAGGCCATGATGAACCGGAAGCCTTTCGATGCCATCCGACAGCGCTCGGAGTCTTCTGTTGGTGAAAGAAATCGCAGAATGGAACAGGATTTTAACCGGTGGCATGGAGCAAAGGAGCGATCTTTTACGCTTGGACAGAAGGTGCTAGTACGTGACTACCAGGAAGGCCATGTAAAATGGACGGCAGGGACGGTCAACAGAAAGCGCGGAAACGTCTTGTGTGACGTGATGGTGGGCGCACAGATCTGGCCAAGGCATGCAAATCAGTTACGATCCATATTGTGCCAACCAGAACAAGCAAGGCCTACTGACCTCCCGTTCGAATTACTGGTGGAAAGCTTCGACCTGCCGAAGGTAGCAGTGGACGATTGCACACAGTCGAGCAAAGAATCCAGAACAAGAACATCGGAACAAAGTTCTCGGGCGCTTCTGCCAAGGAGGTGGACCGACAGGCAGAGAACACCGTCCCGAAGACTGCAAGTTAAACCTAGGCTTTCGTCTTATACCTCGGACGATATCTCAGGAGAGGTGTCCGGGAGAAAGTAAGAATTGCCTTGGAAATCCACTATTTTAGCGATTAATCGATTATTAACGATTATCGCATC